TCCTGCTGGGCCTGGCATAGCTGCTGCCCACTTGCTGAGAGTGACTCTGTGAATAGCACAGGAGTCAGGAGCAGGACAAAGGGTAGGGCAAGTGACTTATTCCCGTCCACTGCTGATGGAAGGAGGCCTGGGGCAGGACTTGGGCCAACTCAAGCACTTCAGCAGAGGTGCCTACGGCAGAGGAGTCCCACTGCCTCTGCCAGCGTCACATTGTTATCTCTCACTTGAGCCACTGAGGATGACTTCCCTCCCTGCAATGTCTCCTGGCCTGGCTCTATACCCTGCTCGACCCCCTTTTCACTGGTTCCCACATTTAAAAGTCCCTTGGTTGTTGTCCACTGCTGTGGGGATTGCCTCCAATTAAAACAGCAGCCCCAGAAACAGATGCTCTTCTTTGGAGCCTTCCAGAATAGCTCTGAGAGTGGCTAGTATGTTCTCATCACCACCTTCTTGCCTCAGGCTATCCCAATTCTGCCCACTAGCCAGGACACTAGGTAAAATAGACCTTTCCATCAGCACTGCTGGTTCTTCTCCTCCTTGCTGTTCTCTGTGGCTTATTTAGGATTATTCGTGCTTCTAACTTCAACCCCAAGAAAGATTAGAACCCTGCCTGTTCCCACCCACTCTGGTGAGAGCCCCTTCTTAGCAGTTACATCAACAGCCATGGCTTCCTCCTCACTGAGTCACCAAGGATCTCATTTGTGGTCTCCTGCAAAGGCAGGATGATTCCTTTAAGATCAACAAATTATCCCTAAGGCGAGCCTCAGACTGCCATGTGTAAGGACCCCCAGCCAAGACAGCCCCCCCACCCCCAGTAGAACAAGCTGAAAGCTCTAGTTTACATAGATTGCGGTCCTGCTCTATGCCACAAAAGTAGACTGTGAAGTCTAGAGAGCATTCATGTGCCTGTGTCCTCAGTGTTTTCAAAAGGTATTTGGGGACACCTTGCAGAAGCTGCTGAACAGGACCTCATCAGATTTTTACTTGAGTGCTGAGATGAACTGAGGCCAGAGCCTGGATTTCATTTCATCCATTGCTGTTTAGCTCACTTCTCTAACTGAGTGGGGGGTACTAGTAAATGGGATTTTGAAGAGAGGGTCTGGAAAGGTTGAGGGGTAGGTTTTTCAAGGCAAAGGGTGGTTGGTGGAGGCAGAGAGATGTAGCAGCTGCTCCAAGCAGAATGAGCTGCTTAAGGGGAGGTTCTGCTGTGTACTGTAGAGTAAGACCCCTCCCCCACGCCCATGGAACAATCAACAACAATTTACCACTTCCTCAAGCTTTTGCAGTTGGAGCTGTGTTTTGTGTTTGTTTGATGTCAAGACTGTTGAGATTGGCCCCAAGCAAGCTAAATTGTCTTCCAGTTATACTTAGACCAAAGACAAATTAGAAACTAGGTGAAAATCTAAAACTCTGTTGCAAAAGTTGCCCTTCCCGTCTGCACTCCTGCAACACCCATCAGCGCCAGGTGCTGAGAGAATGCACATGCAGACTTTCACCTCAGCCTGGTTGCTGCTACCTCATCCTGGCTCCAGCCCCATCCTGCTCCCCTCCGCCACCGGCCCCTGCAACATTGTTTATTTATGACAGGTTCCAGAACAAGAAAAACCAAACACAATTGTAGATGATAAGGCACTAAAGAAGCAATAGATCAATGGAGAAAATCACCTGTGGTTCCTGATGACTAAAGCCACAGGATCTACAAAGGCAGGAAATCGCAATCAGACTATGTAAATAGATTTCGTAATAGTCGGTGGCTTTATCTGCACCTAGTATACATACTATCTACGTCTGTTATGGCTCTTGTACACCTTGCCTCACATTCGGCTTTCCCGTCAGGCTCCTCCTGCTCAGGCACGGTCCTTGCTCTTGATCCTCGCGAGCTTCCAGTTCTGGCCATGCTGCCGAGTACCACAGAAATACTGGGTGGCAATGTTGGAAGGTCGTGAAGAATCATCTGGGCCTAAACCATCTTTATTTATTTTGTTGTAACCTGAAATGCACCTAAGAGGATGCAATAGCTTTGGTGTTACCGTCCTATTCCACAGCTCGTGGTGTTTCCCACCAATCTGGGCAACTTTTTTCTTTTTCCTTTTTTCTGTGTGTGTGTGCTTGTGTGTGTGTTTCTCTTATATTCATCCCTCATTCCATTCCTCTCCAAATGTTGTGTGTTTTTCCAATCTATCTTCAAAAGCTTTCTCCTATATGTCTATGCACAAACATGACATACCTGTATGTGTACGTGAAAAGCATTACATAATGGCATCTTGGTGGATAGTATGTTCTGCTTCTTATTTTCCCCCTTAATATTGTTTTTGAGATCTGATATTTATTGATTTGGCTTATTCCTTTTGACAGCTGCATAATATTTTATAATGTGATAACGCCTCATCTTTTTTCTTTAGTCCCTTCTTAATGGCCCTTTAAGTTTCACAGCTCCTCCTGCTATAAATGCTGCTGGAACAAACATCCCGGTGCTTCCTGTGTTCCTGTGAAAGGGATTCTCTAGGGTACATGTGCACAGCATTGTATCGTGAGGCTGTCAGAACATGAACCTAAATACTTCATCACCAAATTCTTCTCGAGAAAGGTTATTCTGCCAATGCCTTCACTGACGACGTTGAGACTGAGGCCTGAGCAGGCCAGTGACTTGCACTAGTTTAGAACCTGAGTGTTCTGACTTCCAGCCCGGGGTCTACCTGCTCAGAACATTCCACTGCCTCTCTCGGGATCCTGGCAGTCTCCCATGGAGCCAGCCCCGCGGCTGCAGCCTCTTAGAGCCAGAACCTCTGCCTGTGATAAAAATTTCATCTCTCTCCTCCATGTCCAAGCACAGTCGTACCCACCACAAACTTTCCCAGGCGGTGGTAGAGGTGGGAGGTCTGAGCTGAAGTCAGGGCGGAAAGGCCTCCTGTACAACCATAGGAATGAACCTGGGCAGCCCCATTGCCTGCATGTGATAAAAGCTCCCACTACAGGCCCTCCCTGCACTGCTCCACTCGGTATTTGTCGATACAGATCTCACAGTGTATTCATCTTGACTCCCCAGAGAGGACCCCGCACTGCTTGGGGCTCAGGCGGCTGCTGAATAAATGCCAAGAGGGAGTTACTGGGGGAGGGAACCCCTAAGAAAGGGTCATTCTGTCCATCCTCCTGCCTCCAGACTTTGCTAAAACCTTCAGACCTCTTAGCAGAGAGGCTGGCTGGGAAGCTCTTCCTCATGTCTGCTCTAGTCTCTCCTACTGTAACCACAACACAATTATAATAACAACGACAACAGTAACAGATATTTGCTGCGTGATTACTATGTGCCTATAAGTGTTTTAAGCATTTTTCATGTTACCTTATTGAATCCTTATAGCAACATGATGAGGGAGGCGTTATGACCATTCCCATTTTACAAATAAAGAAACTGAGGCTCAGAGAGGCTACGTATCTTTCTTTAGGTCACATAGCTAGTAAGTGGTGGAGTAAGTATCCCTACCCAAGCCTTTTGATGTCCATGAACCTATCTTAACCACTAGAGGGAAGAAGACAAGAGAAAATAAAACAAAAACAAGACAGGAAACCAAGAAGCTGAGGCTCTGCCACTAACTCCAGGTGCAGCCTCTGACAATCCCCCACCCGCCCTGTCTCTGAGCTACCTTGTCAGTACCAGACTTGTAAGCTGCCCAGATCCTTTGCAACTTGGCTATGACCCTGGGTTCCCAAAGCCTCCTGGGAGGTGCCCTGGCAGGTTGAGAATCTGAGTCAGCAGGATTCTCCAGGGCACACACGACTTTACAGCCTTGGCCTTGGCAGAGGCCTCCTGGGGCTATCGATGCCTCCCTCCTTTGAGGCTACCAACCCAACAGCCCTGGGCAGATCTCCGGTGCTGCTTAGACTATCTATTCATATTGGAATTTGAATGCTTATGGTCAGAATGACTAAAAGGCTGAATTTTACAGGGGTTTTGAAAGTGAATTGACTCTACTTATTAAAGATATACTAGATTATTCGCTGAATATAAGGACACTCCAGGGACTGGAGGCATCACAGCCTTTCACGAAGACAGAGACATCCCTTTCTGAGCCTTTCCTGGTAAACCACGGTGGGAGACATCTCACCAGGCAGGGGCTAATTAAATTACCGGCTGAAAGATCGCAGTCGGTTAAGGAAACATTCTGGCCCAGAAGGACTGCGAGTGAATAAAGAGGCAGCTCTAGAAATCCCCTCTGGTTATGTTATGTAAATTTTTTCCAACGGCAGGAAGGCAAAGGCTTTAAGGACAGTATTCCTGAGAAGTCTTGCCTTTCAGTCCTGAAATGTATAAAGAAGGGAGGGAGAGTCATGTGGGATGTTCAACGCTGAGAATGTGATGGACGAGGAGACTGGGCAGGGAGTACACGCTGCTCTTTGTTCTCAGATTCCGTGTCCCCGGGGAGTGACTCCTAGGAGGGTGGGGGCGGGCCTTCCTTATGCTGTTGGGGAAGTTAAATAGTTAGAAGGGTACAAGGAGTCAGAGCCTGTCAGAGTTGGCTCTGACATGAGCCTCTACTCACCAGATCCAGCTCTACTTCAGTGAACTCAGCACCTCACTGTACAGATGGGGAAGTAGGGCTCCAGGAACTGGGGTGGCGGGGTGGGGGGGATGTCAAAATAGGGCATTGGTGGCACAGCAGGGCCTGCAAAAGGATCTCCAGGATCCTAGCTCAGGGCTCTCTCCTCACACCATCCCATGGAGCTCTAGGGAGTGCTCACTGGCTTGTAGCAAGGAATTTCTTCTACTCTCTCTCTGTTTCTTCTCCATCCCTCGCTGCCAGGAGAAGCAGTGACATGTTGCTGGTGCATGGGCAGCATTTGCTTGCAGAAATAATACAAGGTCCAGATGGTGTCCAGGCAACATGGATGCTTCCTGTTGTGACAGGCACAGACTTGGTCTCTTTTAAGCAAAAAGGGAATTTAGCGGCAGGCTACTGGGGTCTCAGAGGCTCCAAGCAGTCTGCAAGGACAGATCTGGAGAGCAGACAGGAACCGAGGCAGCTCAAAAAGGCCAAGAACCATAAAGCACAACCCCAACTTGTAGCAGAATGACTCTGGCCCCAACGGTCACTCTCTTCACCACGACACCCCCACCACAGAATGGGTTCTGATGGAACCTCATCTTCGCACCACTCGTTTAAGCCAGGCCTGATTGCCCAAGTCTGGGACTTGTGGCCATGCCTCAACTTCCAGGGGTGGGAGAGGAAGCGCTGAGAATCTTGCCATGGGAGGGGGGCTCCTGCATCCCCAGGACTCTATTCTCAGGGCACTGAGTGTGTCATACACCTCTGAGGGCTGGACAAGTTCCATGAAAGACAGCATCATGCAATGCAATTTGCTTAGATATAGGGGTCTGTGTCATCTCATGGATGCTGCAATCCCCCCAAAGCTCACTCCTGAAACCTTGCCAAAGTCAAGGGTTCCAGAGATCTTCAGGAAAGTGCCACTGTCTGCTGTTAGGGGGGCGAGTATGAGTGAGGACTTGGTAGAGTCATCTGTGACTGGCACTCCTCCATGCATGAGGGGCCTGGGGCATCCTCCGCAGGAAACTTCAGGGAGGGTGCTAGATCAAGGGCACCGACACCTGAAGAGGCCGTCAGTCCTTCTGTAGGCCTTTTAGTTGAGACTGCCACAGGCTGTATGGTTTTCAGCATTTCAACATTGTATTTCATGTTTGGGAGATAAGAACAATTATGATTTTCAGAGTTCTAATTATATTTCAAGCTGCAGAGAATAAAACTTAACAAAAGCCTTCTTGGCCTGTGATACAATGAACCTCAACTTGGGTAGGTACATTTCTGCTCCCCTCCCGACAGTGAATTCTTAGAAATTCCTGGGGTGGGGGAAGTGAAATTTTTTCTTTGTGCATCTAAAGGGAGCATCGCCTATAAAGTGAGCAGAAACAATGATAGGACCGATGAGCCCCAGACCGGGCAGGAGAAGACCTGGGATCTAGAACCAATTTCACTGCTGATTTCTTGTGAGGTGCATCACCACTCTGGGCTTTTGTCGTCGTCTCAGAAAAGGGGGTAATAAATCCTTCTCTGCCTGCCTCAGAGTAAGAGATTGGGAAATGCTTTGTGGTGAGGACACTGCTATGTACATAGACTACTTCGGGGAGCATGAGAGGGGCTGGGCCTGGGCCCCAGGATCCTTCAGTTCAGGATTCCTTCACCTGGTGTCCTAAGAATTGTGAAATTGGATATGAAACTGCAAGTGTGTGTGCATGTGTGCATATATATACTTGCGTGTGTGTATAGGTGTGTTTGTGTACGTGCGTATGTACATACATGTGTGTATAGGTGTGTGCATATGTGTGTACATGTGTATGTTTGTGTGTATGTTTGTGTGTTTTCTGAGGAAAGGGTCCATAGCTTCTTCCAGATTTTTAACAAGATCTTGACCCTTCAGAGTAGCAATAACTCCTATTTTAGTCCATCCCTTTGTGTGGACAAGAAACAGGCTCCCAAAGTGAGTGTGGAGAATCTGGGGCTTGTTGGCGTCTAAAACTGTGACCGATTATCTGAGTTAATTAAACGCTTTGGCAGAGCCAAGCCAGCATCCCTGTCCCCTCCCACAGCCAGGCGGCCTTCTGTCACACATGCCACAGGTCACAGGGCTGCAGCTGTGCTCTACGTGGATTTCAGGCCCCAGCATGGAATGAGGAACTGATCTGCCAGGCCTGGCTTCCCTGCAGAGGCAAGGACGACAAGATCAACCCTGGCAGAAAGGCCAGCGACCCCAAGGCTGGCTTAGATTGTCCTCACAAAGATCCCCACAACTCAGTGGGTCCCGCATCTGTTTCAAACATGCCTGGCATTTCTTTTTGACGCTAAAGTAAATGCTGGCTGGAGAGCCACCTACACAGCTGACGAAGGC